ACTCCTCTATTTCATTTTCCAATATTCCATTAAATTTAATAAAGAGGATATTATAATAAATTTAATTAATATTTTCACTAAAATCTAAAAAATTAACTACATTTGATTGAATTTCTTAATAATTGAAAATCATTTTTATTGGTTATAAATATATCTAAAGGATGGATAATACTATGAAATAAATGTAATTTACATGAAATAAATAACACTATTTTTTTTAGGTGCATGAATGTTATTTCTCTATAATGCTATAACTTTCAATACTTCATTGTTACTAATTCTAACATTTCATAATTGGTATTAATTCCAACACTCTCTCAATCTTGGATGTATAAGTCAAATGCGTTTAAAATAAATGTAAGGAATTCTCTGTCTTCTTAGAGATTTTGTGAAGACATATACTAATTGGGTCATTTGAGATAACAATTTCAATGATGTTTTTTTTAGAAATAACTTTCTCGCAAAAAAAAAAAAAAACAATTAGTATTAATATGTTTAGTTCTCTCAAAGAGTGCCAGATTGGAAGTTATAAGTATGTTGTATGGTTATCACAACATAGTTGTATCGATTGAATATCTTCAAACTTTAACTCTTGAAAAAGCTATTAAATCTAGAGAAATTCAAAAATAGTTGTAGTCACAACTCTATAACAACTACATTTTGTTTATTGCTCTTTCAAGAGACAAGATTTTCATAAATAGAAAAACACTATCCTGAAGTGGAATGTATATTAATGGACAAGATTTTCATAAATAGAAACACACTATCCTGAAGTGGAATGTATATCAATGGAAGAACTTTTCCAATCTACATCACAAAATTCAGCTATTTGAGTGTCTTCTTTGTCTTTATAAAGTAGTTTTGTCCTAGTACTCACTTAATGTTGTTCAGAAATTTACATTATAATGATCATTACGTGGACACTGCATGAATTAACTTACTACGTTAACTACAAAGAAAATATTTGGTCTGGTTATAGTAAGATTAATGAATTTTAAAAAATCTCTTATATCTTTATAGATTAGAATAAAGCTCCCTTGATTAAAAAGTAATTTACATTCAGAACCATGGAACTGTTCATTGATTTACAATGCAACATACCAATTTCGTTAAGTATGTCTAAGGCATACTTTCTTCGTGAGATGATAATTTCATCCTTTCATTGAGCAACTTCAACCCCAAGAAAATATTTTAACTTCCCTAAGTCTTTAGTTTGAAAATAACTACATAAATATTTCTTCAATTGAGAAATTTTCTTCTAATCATTTTCTATTATGAATATATCATCTACATAAACCACTAAGTAAACACATTTATTTGAAGAATATGACAATAGAAGACAGAGTTATTTGTTTCACTACATTTAATTCCAAAAATTTAAATAACTTGAATGAATTTTTCAAACCATGCCCGTGGTGACTATTTCAAACCGTAGAAAGATCAACATAATCTGCAAACCAAACTAGACTCCCCTAAGCAACAAATCTAGGAGGTTGCTCCTTATAAATTTCTTCTTCCAATCTACTATGAAAAAACACATTTACAATATCCAATTAATATAATGGCCAACAACAAATGACGGCTATGGCAATAAATAATCGAACACGCATTATTTTGGCCACAAGAGAGAAAATATCTCCATAATCAATTACATACATTTGGAAATATCCTTTTGTAACAAATCGTATTTTGAGACAATCAATCTGATTATTGATTCCAATTTTAATAGTATATATCCATAGACATTCAATAGGTTTATTTCCCAAAAAGGGAAAGAAGTTAATTCCCAAGTACCATTATGCTTTAAAGCCGACATTTCATCAACCATGGCTTGTCACCATCTTGGGTGATCAAGCTTTAAAGCTTCAGAATAGAAATAGAAATAGAATATGGAATAGAAATAGAATATATATATATATATATATATATATATATATATATATATATATATATATATATATATATATATATATATATATATATATATATATATATATATATATATATATATATATATATATATATATATATATATATATATATATATATATATATATATATATATATATATATGACATGAAAAGAATAATAAGAGGAGATAGACAATTGTAATTTAGAAAGTTAAAAATAGAATAAGGATTACGGATAGACCAAATATCTTTTCAAAGAGCAATGGACAAGTCTAAGATTTTGTTCAAGAAAGTTTGTAGTAAGATTATGTGTTGGTTCAAAACATGATTCAAATGGTGTTTCAGTGTCTTCGAATTCTATATTAACAACACGTGGATGATGGTGTACACGATAGGTGAGATTTTTTAAGAAGAGAACTTCTTAGAATATTTATAGTTAAAATCGATTCCAAGACAAGGGAAGGTGATGAACCAAGATAAGGAATTGGGAAAACTTTTTGAATAGTATGATAGTCAATTATGGATGGTGAGAAGTAAAACTTTTCTTCGAATTATATTACATCTGGGAAAATATAGCAACAATTTTGAATGGTGGAAAAACATTTATAACCTTTTTTGTAAGATAGAGTACCCTAAAAAAAGCACATTTTATGGCTCAAGCAAAAAGCTTACAAAAAATTAGAGATAAGTCATGAACAAAACAGATGCATCCAAATATCCAATGAGCAATATGAAACAACTTTTTTTTGGAAATTAAAATGAAATGTAGTATTTTATGATCAAGAGAGGAAGAAGACATTCAATTAATCAAAAAAACATAATGTCAAAACTACATCACCTCAATGTAAGACAAGTATATTTGAAAGTAACAAGGTCTAAGTAGTTTCAACAAGATGCATATTCTTTCTTTCAGCCATTCCATTCAGTTGAGGGATAAGATGATAACTCGATTGATGGAGAATACCCTATGATGACCAAAAAGAAGAAAGACTAGAAAAAAATACTCTCTTTGTCTCATATTATAAGCAAAAATTATTTTTTAGGTTTATTAAATATTTAATGTATCTGGTCTATATATAGACTTGATACATTAGATATTCAATGAACCTAAAAAATAATTTTTATTTATAATATAAGACGGATGGAGTATTCTTGTGTTATCACTTCTAAGAATTTTGATTTTCTTACTGATTTGGGTTTTAATCTCGTTGACAAAAGTGGTGAGAATGGAAAAAGTTCATATTGTTCTTTTTTTTTTTGAAAAAACCCAAATGCATACGGTTAACATTAGAATGCAGACAACTTGGTCTCCATATATCTGAATGGATAACAGAAAATGGAGAATCAACTCGACTTTCAACTTCGCTTTGAAAGAAAGAGGAAAAATATTTTCCTAGTTGACACGACTTACAATTTAACAATGAAACTTTTGCAAGACTTAAAATCATTTATTTTAATTTTGACGAACTTGGATGACCAAATCATCATGAAGAATGTTTAGAGACTCAATACTAATACAACTTATAAAAGAAAGTGATTTGAGATAATAAAGATCATGCGATTGATGTCATACACATATTCGACCTATATCATGTTCATGTATAATAAATGAACTCGCATCAAGGGTTATTAAGTAATTTAGAGATTGAGAAGGTTAACTAAGGAAAACCAAATTTAAAGGACAAACAAATATAAATAAAGCATATTTGGGAGAAGATACGAAAGAGAATAAGGAACAATTACCATCAATGTGATTAGAGGTATCTTAATCAATTATCCAAAAAAAAAAATCTGATTACAAGATTGAGATATGAAGGTGGGAGAAGCATCAACACTGGTGACACTCAGCCTATGAGATGACTTTTCCAAAAAACCATGAAGAGAGTAGCATATCATGTCTTTTGAGTGTGAGTCATTCTCTTGCATTATGTGCATTGAAGACTATTCATATTCTTAAAATAAAACTGAGTGGACCATCAAACAACCAGAAAATGAAGGTAACAACTAACAATGACTTTTAAACTAAAGAAGTGTTACTCTTTTTTATTTACAAACCAAGGAAGACTCGAGAGGTCTGTTGGACCAGAGATAAAAACTCTTAATTGAGAAATGAACCAGCATCGATACCATACTATTTTTTAGGTGCGTGAGTGTTATTTCCTAAATGAACCATTAAAAGACTTGTGAAATGTTTGAGTGATTAAACACTTAGTTGATCCATGCTATATTTTTAAGAGCGCGGGTCTTATTTTCTAATTGCAACAGTTTTCCGTTTTAATAATGGCTACTAATTCCAATTATAAAAATTCCAACACTAACATATTTTTTATTGGGGATAATTGTGAGAATCATGAACAACCACCAAAACAAAAATTTAAAGAGTAAATTATGAAATACATCAAAGAATTTTTCTAATTTTGAAAGAAAGTTGGTATCATTAAAGTTTTTTTTAATAGTAAAACTCAACTTCATTAATTACCAAACCAACTAGAATTACATATAGTTTAAAACACTACATAGTCAGTCATAAATACTTAGATTTTTCACAAGTTAAGGCACAACCAAACTAAAAGCAAAAATATTTCTTCCAGTATTTCATTCTCTTGCAAACACCATCGTGGGAGTGAAAATTCAATCTTTTTTCAAATCCAGTTACAGATGATTTCTTTGACTTGTGTTTGCACATTTCAACTATCTTTAATCTCAATATTGTCCAACCTTTTCGAGTATCCCCAAATTAATAGGTAAATAGAAATAATGTTGTAATAGATATTGAACATATAAGCTTCCTTATTCCTTAGTCATTATGAAATGTCAATTGATACACGTAAATATACTACAAAATCCAAAATTCTTTTGAAACATTTTATCAGACACCAAAATTGCATTCTTAAACCTTAAAAGACTAAAATACAACACATGTATCACATAAACGAAATGAAGCAGCTCTGGTAGAAGAGATAAAACAGCCATGGAGGCTATGGGTGTGGACTGCATCGAGGGAGCAACTGCATCCATCATTGTTGAATTTAAGGCCTTGATTGTGGTGGCTCCAGTGGCAGCGCAAAAAAAAAAAGCCTTGACGGTTGTTCATGGTGGAGAATGGGGGTGTTCAGTGAGAGGCTTGGTTGTGGTGAAGACATGATGACAAAGATGAATGAAGAGAAAATTGCTCTCAAAAGAAGAGGTGACCACCATAAAGATGGAAGAGGACCACCATAGAGGTGGGAGGTAACCACCAAACCCTAAAGGTTTGGAAGAAAGTTTTCTAGAAAAAAGGAGGAGCCTCTCTAGAACTTTAAATAGAAACATGATATCATTAAAGTTATACGCTTCAATTTACTGATACTTCTATTATACGCTTCAATTTAATATGTTAGAAGGTTCTCCACATTTCGTGTAATTGAATTTTCTGGACTCGGAAAATGAATGTTTGAAATATTTAAAAGCGAGCTTAACTTTCAACTTTCAAGCACTTCGCCTATATACACAACAAATCAATCAACATATAAACCTCAACATCCACGAGATATAATTCAGACCAACCAGTTACATTATGTAATCTGCAGCCCATAAACTTGTTGGAGCTTCGCATAATCGAAGATTCAAAGTGCGTATAGTATACACAGAAACACAGAAAACAAGTTTAACTAAAGTGGATCAAACAGAATAATTATGAACAACATGATGCAGCTCTGGATCCTTCGGCGGGTCTATCAACAAGAACCATTCCTGCTGGTTGTGCTGGCTGTGCCCTTGGTAACCTCTTGGCTGTTTATGTGAGCAATTGCAAGTCAAACAAGAGAATAAGTTAGAATATCTCAGCATCTCTCTAAGAAACACAGTCAAAAAGCACAAACAAGAGAATGTAGACAATGAAAACGGTATATTTCTCTAATTGTGTTTAGTTAGACGGTCCTTGCTATTGTAAAACAGGAAAAACACGTTACAGATCTAACAAGTTCATCAACTGCACTGTTTGCTCGTGAATGAGTTATGGTCAAATGTCATTCACACCCTTCTTCGATCTTATACATAGAGACTTACAAGAAAACTATACATGTTGATAAAACAGGAAGAAGAAAAAAATATTCATCTGGTGGTTCAAAAGGTTCAGCTCCCAATTTTAACCTTCGATACCACAATACCAGACTAGGAAATAGGAATAATACTATTCATTTTGGTGACATTTCCTTTTTGCAACTTTATCTAATCAGTAGTGCAGACAACAAAAATATCTAGGCCAGCAAAGTAAGTATAGGGTCATATAATTCCTTAAAACGGTATATGTAATAGGATAGGACTCACCTATTTCATAAAATATTTCATTAACATTGGCTGCAGTTTTTGCAGAGGCCTCTATGAAAAACAGACCATTTTCCTCAGCATATACACGTGCTTCCTGCATTGTACAAGAGACAAGAGTCACAAGCTGATAAGTCGGTGGTTACAGGAAATGTCACTGGCATATTGGATATCCAAGATATGCAACTGTTTAAATACAAATAGACTTAACAATCATTACACCAAACCAAAAATGCTTTTAACAGTAGATTATACTTTAAAATTTAAATTATCTTCTGTGTTGGAAATGGAGTGCTAGGATTTAGGACCCTGAACAATAAGCTCCATAAAATTATTTCATGGACAAGCTCAGAATTACTGTAGATAAACATTTCAAAGTTAAGTTTATGTGAAGTTCATTTAGGACCCTTGTTTGAAGATGCTAGTTAGGGATAGAAAAGGTTTCCACGCGTAAAGCTATAGAATGTTTTAGAAATTGGACTGAACCAGTCGGGTGGTTGGTTTGTTTAATCTCGGATATACTATAGTCTTATTGAATCGAATTTAAATTGGGTAAGCCGGTTTTCACTTTTGTATTGTTATACTTTTCAATGATTTATCTGATTATCATCCCGTTCAACTATGGGTGAATTAATTGAACCATGACTGAGGTCTCACTAGTTTGATCTCTGGTCAGATTCTTAAAACACCGACAGAACTAACATCAAATACCACCCCAAAAAAGTTGAAACGTAAAAATTAACAAATGTAACCAGCAGTGTGATATTATAAAATTTATCCTAAAAAATTGTGCTTCGCTAATTGCAGCTAATTACCGATATAGTTAAAGTAGCTATAACTCTTATCATGCCATAATGGAAAAATTGAAAACACAATAAAACTTACTTCAGCCGTCACTTTCCTCTTATCTTCCAAGTCAGCTTTGTTACCGGCAAAAGCCACGACCATGTTAGGATTCCCTGAAACAAAAGCATAATGAGTGCATTATTTGCGACCTAATCATTTAACTACAGCAGACACATACCATGTATTTAATGAGGTGAGGAATAAAAAAAATCATATTAGATGTTTTTATCAATATATCATATTTGAAGTGATACTTCTAAAAAAGTCCTCTATTTCTTACTCACAGCACTTGCTTGATCAATTATTTCTTTATATAGAAAGTAAGTCATTGAGAGCTGATTCCTTTTGTAACACGTGCAAGCCAAATATCTAACACTTTACAATAAACTATTGAATATCATGGGTTAGTTTTAAATTTTAATTAACTCAAAGTTCATTAGGTGTTTCTGCTAATAGAACCTTAGTCTGCTTAATTGTTAGGTATTCTCTCATGTATTCATCACTCTCACATAATTCCTTGTACTGTTAACCATGTTTATGATCTCTATATGTTTGTTATAAAATGTATGACTTTATAGTTTCATTGAAGTTATGAAAGTCATTCTAACTGTCAAGATCATGTAAAATAGAAGAAAATGAATTTCACAAAAGGAATATTTAATAATATGCTCAAGATTGCTTTATATATAGTTTGCACCAGAAATTTTTAACCAAATAATAAATAGTTTGGTTTTCCTTTTTACAATCTATAATTTTTATTCACTCCAGAAAAAAAATGGAAGAATAAGAAAACTTCTTAACCAATCGGCATATATACCTTGTTTCTGAAGCTCTTGGACCCATTTCTTTGCCCGTGTAAATGAATCCTGTAAAGAAGAGAAATAATCACATAAAATGACAGTAATAAACTAAATGTAAACAATTAAAAAAAACTTCCAAACACAGTCTCTTGAATCTGGGCCCTAAAGAAAGACAAATGAATACACATACTAAAAGAAAGAAGCCAACTAGTAGAAGTGTAGAACTGATCTTCTCTTCCTTTTACTCAATTTCTAACATTTTGCACCAATAACAGTATGATGACCCCTCATTTATTACACATTTTAATGTTAATATACACAGCCAAACAAGTTATATTAAATATTACCTATCTAAATAGGTAATCAGAAATATTCAAAGAGAAAGATATCATACCAAGTTAGTAATGTCATAGACAATGATAGCAGCAGCAGCACCTCTGTAGTACATGGGAGCCAAGCTATGGTATCTCTCTTGTCCTGCTGTGTCCCAAATCTCAAATTTCACTGTGGCGTCATTTACTGCCAACGTCTGGGAGAAAAATGCAGCCCCTATTGTTGATTCCTGATTCAGAATAGACAAAATAAATTCAGCAACGAAGTACTCACGAGTCTATACGCTTAAAGAAGGTTTGGTAATAAATAACAACTGTCAGAACCCAAAACCATTTATGTGCCCACATTACCATATACATAAGAATAAATCTAGTACACCCATCTTTTCCCCACAAGTTGTGGTACTCTAAGTGATTCTTTTTTCTGGCTTAACTCTATGATTCCAAGGGAACAGGGACCATGGTAATCCGTAGTTCGGCTGAGGCCTGAGACGTAAGTAAAGTCTTGCCAACAATTGTTCCAGTCAAAATTCGAACTCGGGTTCTCTCAAACAATTCAGCCTTAACCAGAGCTCATTAACCACTTGAGCCTATTCACTTGGTTAGGTGAGTTGTTAATAAATACTAACTTGTAAATATTTATTGCGAAATCAACATCCAAATGAATGTTTGATAACAAGTAAAACAACACACCCCAAATGAATGTTTGAAAACTTAACTAGAAAAGCAAAACCCAAATGAATGTTTGATAACTAGTAAAGCAACACCAAGATGAATGTTTGATAACTAGTAAATCAACACCAAATGAATGTTTGATGACTAGAAAAGCAACACCCAATTTTGAACTGTTAAGGAAAGTGTATAATGAGAGTAATGACTAATCGATTCAGCCCACAACTACACATTCTAATAGATGTAATAGATGTGTATATATAAGATATTACAATTATATTCAGATCAAACATATAAAGAGTTAATTAAAAGTACTACACTACACGAATCATTCAAAACTCCAAAACCGTAACAAACAAACAATTCATTCTCGCTAGAATCCTATCTTGTTAAGAGAGGAACTTCTCTAATCCTCTCCATCATATTAGTAACTTCTAGAAACAAATCATTATAAAATCGTAACAGAAAAACTCCAGTTTCAATTCATAAAAATCATAGCAAAAGGGGCAAAAAAAAAATCCACGCATGAAAAAAAAGCGCGATTTTGGCGTTAAACCTGAAAACCCCATGAAAATTCTTCAAACAAATTAGAATCGCAGAGGCACCGAATTAAATTGAGAAGATAAATAAAAAGGGAAAACAACCTGAAACTCAAGGAATTGACCCTTGACAAAACGCAAGACAAGGCTTGATTTTCCAGCACCCATATCCCCAAGCAGAACCTGAAATTGAATGAACCAAAACAATTTAAAACTAAAAAAATATATGAATTACCGTTTGAAGAAAAAAAAGGGGGAATCAATTATAATTGATAGATACCAATTTGGCGTTGAGGTTGCTGTGTCCGATCGTAGCCATTGAAGTGAAATCGGAACGATCGGAATCGAAGAAGTGAAGAGAAGAAACTTCGAGATGAAGAAATTGAAATTAAAAAAAGAAAAAGGAAGAAGATGAAAATGATGATGATGATGATGATGATGATGATGATGAAGAAGACGCCGAAAACAGAGTCCTTCTCCAAGTTGTATTGTTATTGCTTTTAGCTTTGCGTGCAAACGCGCTTTTCTTTTATTTTACTATATTTTCTAGTGTTTTTTTGTTAGAGACAGATTCCACTCAGCTTTCACGGAAACCACACCAATCATTAAAATAAACCTGGCTAATATTTATTTATTGAATGATTTTTAAAAGGAATTATTTAGAAAATTGTCTTCTCTTTTGATTTAGTTTTTTTTTCTACTTATATTTAATATAGATAAAATATCTATTTTAGTCAATGATTAATTTTTAAATTTTTTATCGTTAATTAAATAAAAATAATTAAAATAAAATATTTTAAAATTTAAAAGATCAAATA